CCCCCCCCCCCCCCCCCGCAAAACCTAGGAGATTGGATTTTCTCCGACGGTTTTGATCTGGCAATGTTAAGAAGCAATATGGCAATATTACTCAGAACGAGAGCACAACGAGTATTTCTAAACCTCGGCATCCTGCCCCGAACATCTTCGGAAATCAATGAAAACTGACGAAAATATCATGAACTCTGAAAAAATCTGGGATAGAAAAAAGAAAATTCATGAAACGTAGTGAACATGATGAGGATTGAAAAACATGTCTAACAATCATGGCACATGCTGAAAATACTGGGAAGCTGAAAATGATGAAGAGTGGTCACAACTGTTGAAAGTGGCGAAACTATGAAATATGTAGAAAATAACAAGACATGGAGAAAATGAAGTGCGACGAAGGAAAACAAGTGAAACATGATGAAAGATGAGGGGGATGGTGAAAAATGATGAAAAGCTGCCGAGAAACCAACGAGACATTCTGAAACATAATGAAATATCTAAAAGCATCGCAAAATTCAAACATCAATATATGAAGAAAAGAAAGAAACATGATAGAATGATGAGAAATGAAATGACGGACATCATGAAAATGATGAAAACAATTAATACATGAAACATGATGAGATATGAAGTAGCCTGGTAAACATGCTTTCAACTTGATTGACACTCATCACCTGTGTTTTTTGCAGTGGGTCTTGAGTACAAGTGAAAACAAGAAAACATGAAGACAAATCTATGAATGCGAGAAAATATGATGCCAATAAACTGTTTGCTTGCTTATCTTGCTTGCTCGCCTGCTGACCTGCTTGTCTGCTTGCTGTTCTTGTTTCACCCTCTGGCCTAGCGGAAAAAACAAGAAACGGAAAACAATGCAAAGAGAGAGAGAGAGAGAGAGATGGAAAAGATACCGCCACCCTTCTCGAGGTTCGCATAAACTGACATAGCACAAGGATTGGGCCCCTGCTTACCTTCACAACCAGGCAAAACCGCTTATGCCGAAGTCGCGTCTTCCAACACAGCTAACTGCAATCCAAGCTTCCAGTGCGGTCTGGATTGTCATGTTGACATCAGGATAAGATTCGATGGAGCTTCCCCGTCCTGCTTCGCGGAAGCATAATTCGACCCGGGCAAATGTGCACTCGAGACACGAATGGCTTCGGGCATGCCTCCAAGGGTGAATCGTAGTTGGACAGAGATGCAGTGCCGGGCAATCTGAACTGCCTGCAGGATCACTGCTGGCTGAGCTGCGTGATCCTTGTTCCCCTAGGCCCTAGCATTGCATGCAACGCAAAGATCTTCAGACAGGAACATCCGCAGAATCTGTGCTAGCATGCCAAATCTAATCTGGTCGTGCACCGAGCACCTTTACCATCTTCTTTGTGCCCTCACGCTTTTCCAGCCACCTTTCAAGATCAAATCTGATTGTCCGCGGGGCAGCAAGGCAGAGCTGAGAGCGCCTGAGGTCCTGCTCCAAAGTTACAAGGCCACACGGATCTTGCCCTCAGATCTCATGCCACGCAGAAGGCAACTTTGAAGCAAGATCAGCATCATCAAATGAGCTTCCTTTTCTACTGTAGCCGGTTAAAGTGTCGAAAGCATGCTTTGATTCAATGGATGCCTTCATGCAGAGTACATGAACCGCCGACAGTGAAAACATGTGTGAAAACGAGCTAGACACCCAAATCTTAAAAGGATGTTGACTTAAACGTTCTGAACAATTGCAACGAGCTGGCTGTGCACAGGGCATCTGAGCACCTTGCGTAAGCTCATCAGCATCTGGGTGGTGTGCTGGAGGGCCGCTGCCTTGGCTTTTGCAACGAAGAAATTGTGCCCTAGAACGGCAAACGTCCGTTTGCAGCCACAGAGCATAGGATCCACTGGGAGGAAGCTTGGTGCCAACGATAGCCTGAAAGAGCACAGGAAGCTCCGGGAATCTCGCCGGCTATCCGCAAATTGAGATTCCAAATCGAGCAAAACTAGCTCAAGCTCTGTTTTTTTCAGGCCTGACATGTGGCTGACTTCATTGCCCACCTCGATGCGGTGAAGGTCATCAACTGCATACAGCGCACTCTCCCGGCTCAAAGGTACTGCCAGCGCTCGCTTGTTCCTTGGCTGCACGATCTAACCGCCAGACTTCTTAGCGCTAAGGCGATGTTGCAAACTGCTGTGCTTTGCCATGGGTCTCACAATGGGCCGCGTCCCAGTTGATCTGCTCCTGAGCAGGTGACTGGCATCTTGGAGAGGGTGTAAATGTAGCCCTAACTTGCACGGTGTGACTGGACACGAACCAGTAGAAGTCTCGATTCCGGTAATTAAATGGAATCTTGGTACAAGTAGTGCTATCTTACCGCAAGCTTGCGTTTGCCCCCGATTTGAATGCAAAGTTCAATTCCAGCACATCAGCAGTTTGGTTTTGATTGCGCATAATATTAAAAATCACGTGAAGCCGCAATGACTACCGCGACCGCAACGGAGACCACCAAATAGCCATTGACCATCGACTATGCCGCTGCCCTGATAAAAGGGACGACACCTGAAGAAACTGATGCGCCTCCTTCACCGGAAGGCCGTCCGTGGTCTCTGAAGGAACTGTCTGCAGCATCTTGGCCATGCCTATGAGGATGTTGGCATCAAAGGCCACCTGAGAGCAAAGCAAAAAGGCCATGATGTTGGTGCGATGTTCTCTAATGGTCAAGCAACCTGCGCGTCGAGTGTGCCAACTGGATAAACTCCAATATAGCACGGCCGCAGCTGGTACCTGAGACCGTGAGACCGAGCAGCACAAGCTTGACTGGTCATGCGAGTGCTTGGAAAATTGATTGCCATTCAGAACTTTACCGTATGAGCACAACTTCTGGAAATGGCAATGAGTGCCAGCATGCTTGCAAGAATGGATTCTTTGCATTCATACACCCAGGAATTTGCACACATGACACAGACACCAGAAGAGATTTGCTTGTGGCTTCTGATAGAAGTTTCAGACATCCTTTGCCAGGAGGCATCAGGCACTGACAGTCACCTTGTGCCCCCCATAGGATCTTCAAGATCTTCTGGCTTCCCATGACCTTCAATTATCTGCCCCAAAGGCCCATCAAGCAAAGCCGAGCTTATCCCAGAGCAAGCTCGGATAACTGCTCTTGCTCTGATGCTTGCATATTGTGTCTTCACCACATCTTGCGGCCTAGCTGTGGTTTTGCGAATGCCTCTTTGCAGCGAACACTTGCAACACACCGCCCCCGCCTGCCGAATAATTTCCACTCCGCTCGGATATCTGAGGTCAAGGAGAAAGCCTTGCTTGGTAAATAAGCATTGATGCTGGAGCTGGGCATGGTCGCAGTAAACTCAAACCTGCTCTCGGGTTTGCAGTTCGAGTGCAGGAGACTATTTCTCTCAGGCATGCAAGCACATCACCTTGCGGCGCCGCAAGCTCCTAATCGCAACTGCGCAGCCGGGGCATCGAAATCTCTGCAGCGGATGTAGCCGCAGGGGGCTCAATGTCTTCAGATCAAGCACCTGCATGGCTCTCATGCGTCTGACAACCCCTTATGCAGTCTTTCAAGAACTTAAACCCAGAAACGCCTGGGTGAACTGGAGCTGTGCAATGCTGACTTCGCCACCGTGACCTGCGATTGCTCTGTGACCACAACCATGCTCAAAATGCTAGCGCAATCTGAATTAATTTAACTCTTGGTCACTGCCTGGCATCTCCCCCTCGAAGTCGACCAGCAGCGCAGCACCATACTCTTCGCAGGTATCCTCGCTTGGCAATGCAGCTTTGGAGCTGCGCATCGAGCATATCTGCAAAAGATGGAAATGAATGCTAAGGAGGAGCTATAAAATTCCTGACCAATTGCTTCAGCCGATGGAAAGCCTGTCACATCTTGTACTGCGCTGCTGATGGTTCATTCTGACTTGTGCAGGGCCTGCCTCCCTGGATGGCGCTGGAACTGACTCAACCAGTTGCCCTTCAGAGAGGACGAGAAAGGGGCCTCTCAAAGGTAATGCATGAGACCATCCGATACAGCGTTTACAGTCATGATGCATATGGGAAAGCACTATGGCACGGGAAAAGTCTTATGGCTCATAACAGTGCCGCCCACAAATACTTCAAATACCAAGTGACAGTCAAGGGAGCTGTGCAGCAGGTACGGCTCCAGGAACTCCAACATCTCAGGGCTTTCCTGCAATGTTCTCTGCCAAAAATCTCGCTCATAATAACAACTGTGCAGACAGCATGTACATGGCAACGGGGCTCAGCTACGCTCGTCCTGTTCCCGCGCCAGGTGTAGCAACAGCGATTGTCCAACAGGTCCTTCCTTGGGCACAGCTTTTTCTAATCTGGATGGGGCACGCAGTGATGCACCACATGTACGCATCGCAGCGAAGCATGTGAGCAACCCTCAGGCAACCCTCCAGATCATCATCCAAGCTGCAGGCACCGCTGGCTCTAGAGGCAGATCTTGAAACAATGTGCCAGAACGAATTACCGTCACCTTCAGCAGGCAAAGTAAATGCTTGCCTACTAAAGGTTCATTGAACATGTGTGCGACCTCAACGTTGCTTGCACTAGCAGGAGCTACATGAATTTCCAGCAACATGTGAGGCCGATCTCAACACTGAGCAGCATAAATGAGTGCCCAAATGACTGCAGCTGGCAACAAAATCAACCACTTCGATCAGGCTTGCCTGAGCGGCTCTGAACTTGCCTTGGCCCTGGCACACAGTTTGCATTCGCACGCAAGCATCCTGAGGAGAAACCTCTGACAAAATTGTGCTAGAACCTGTGCTGATCGTGCCTGCTTACAGACATGTGTGAACATGGCCGTCTGCATGCTGCAAAGGCTTATATTGATTTCTGTCGCACTTTTGCAGGAATATTGTCAATTGTAAATCCTGCTCATCCATGACATGCCATGACTTGCAAGCTTCATTAACGAGGGGTTTCGTGTTTACTTTCTGTTGCCAGCGGAAAGTGTCCCGCAGTCAGATCTTTGTCGCACACCGGAACATTCAGACATTCATCATGCAGCTTGCAGTCCCCGAATGTTCAGCTTACACGAACCCTGCAAAACTAGCCTCATCCTGTTGCACAAGCAGCTACATGGCTCGGGCCTGCACGTCAGCCAGCCTCCAGACGGGTCCAGAGGGACAACGTGCTTACTTCTACCCTCACACATGCACATGTTCTCTTTCAGTGTTTCGTTTGTGCCTACATAAGCAAGCAGGAATAAGGGAACATGCTCAGGTAAGATACGTAAAGCCGTGACAACATTGCCAATGGTTTGCAGTCTCGCCTCAAGAAACTGACATGGTCGCCACAATTCAAAGCGGCAACACCTTCTAACGCGGACTGGTGGACATAGATGTCCTTGGTCAACGCATCTCCGAATGCACAATGCAGGACCCCAGCACAATACTTACCATCATTCTCCCGTGTACATTATATGTTACAATAGGTACAATACCCCCTGAAATTGTTAATTTCTCGTTCGACTTCTCCCTAATCTTCTCCCTAGCTTATCTGGTTTGATAGGCCTGCAACTCTTGGTCGCTCCGCCCGCACAAAGTCCCAAGCACAGCACTAATTAACACCAACATCTCGTTTACAGCATGAACCGCTGAATTGATCTCTCCTTCTTCTTCTGCATGCCACGCGACGTCCCGGAGAAACGCGCCGGGGCTGCCGCTGCCGTGTCATATCCCCCCTTTTCCCTTTGTTCAATCTCAGGAGGCGCAATCCACTATCTCTCTTGCTCACCCCAAACGGAACTTCACGGACTTGATTGCTTTCTGATGTCCTGACCCTGTGACACCTGTGGACTGTAAAACCAGCAGGAACATCTCCTTCCATACATAACACTTCAGTTTGCTAGGGATGCCTGGTTCTTACGAACCTCGTTGCGCATTTACCTCTCCTTTGAGTAGTCAGTTCCTGCTTCGCTCGGGCCTGGTGGGCGTATACTCCGTCACTGCACCACTAGGCGCTTTGTATGAGGATCCTGCGGCATAGCTTGCAAGGAGACCTTTACTGCCAAGCAGGCTGGTTGGTCACATTGACGGTGTTTTGTCCAGGAGTCTAAGCTTTTGGACAGGTGGCCTTGTGAGATGTTTTTTGTTTTGTGTTCTAATCTATCCTACGGGAAATCTAGGCGCATCCAGGCACCTTGTTGGCCTTGCAGGAAACCTGAAGCCAGGTCTGAATTCGGAAGCGCATAACTCTTAGCAGGCGGGCCAGCAGGGAAGCACAACTGACTGCACACAGATGCTGACAAGCAGGTTGAGGTATGCTGGGCATGCGCTGCCATAAGGACAGCCCCGGAGGTACGCTATAAACCCTCAGCTGTTCGGTTGATGAAGTCGTGACAAGCAAGGTTCCGGATATTGAAGACCGTCGTATGTCCGCATGTCCGTGTGCCCTTCTTACGTGGCCTTTTTGCACCTATTCGAATTGTTCTTTTACAGGCTGCACTCGCAGTGTGCCTTGTTGAACCCCGTCCATCCATTTGGAAACTCTCTCCCTCGCTCTCTCCTGTTCTTGTTACAGCTTCGTGCCCCCCCGAAGCTGGCACCAAAGCAACCCCTCGGCATTGTCGAGGCCCCGGGCCGTACGTCTTGCCATGCCCTAGCTTTAGGCAGAAAATGTTTTTGATTCAAGGCCACGCAGCCCAAGGACCTCTGTCCCGGCCCCTCCATGAACACTCAGCGCACATTGCATTTCATCAAGTCAAACCCCATGCTTTTCGATGCTGAATGCCATGATCAAATTTTCCAAGAAACCGTGCCACCACTGTCCGGCTTCACGAATCCATAGCCTGGGGAGAATGCTCAAATGCAATAAAAACACTAGAAAGCCTGAAAGCGAAAGCTTCACCGAGAAAAAAAGCAATTCACCACGTGCTGTGCGACAAGCCGCCTTTGTCTGGCAACCACCGCTTGACAACCTGCACGACTCTGCATGATTTATGGATATTTTTGGAATGGCTTCGGGTCCATCTCTCTGCCACATCATGTTCCCATAACTTGGTCCCTGGCGCCGGTGCAAGGAACCCCTTGAAAGGCGGCCTGATCACATGCGGCTGCGTACATATTTGGGTGATGTCGTTGGAGCACTGCGACTGCTTAGGGCAGATAAGCCCCACACCGGATACGCGTTGCCATTGGTGGCCTCCTTAATGATGGTCTGTAAACTGGTCGTTCCTGCGTGCGAGAGCATCACCTGACGGAAGTCCAAACATGTTTTTGGATTAGAATTCAGGGGCCCGGAATTATATTTGGAATTCATTTTTGAATAGGTTGGGACATTTTATTGGTTCTGGTGCCGAGGACAACAAATATTACAACATGCCGCCTTTGATTTGGGTCCCAGGGGTTGCTTCCAGGCTGCGAGCACCGGCAAACATAGTCTTTGGAGGTATGCGGAACCGAAGCCTTTTCATCATTTGGGTAGTGTCGCAGAAGATTCTTGGATGGCGGGAAATAAAGGTAAATACCAATGCACTTTTTTTGCCCACCTTTGCGTAATGTATTCACGCATAGTGCCCGCACTTTAAAATACCGGGGGGTCGGGGGGGCACAGCTCCCTCCCACTTGCAAAAACATGGCTGAAAACAAGAAGATGTACATACCTTACCTTCTTGCACGCTTTCGACCAACAGTTCTGCAGTACAACACGGAAAATTAACGGTTTCTGTAAACTCCCAAGATTTCCAAATGCTTCACTGTGCTTGCAAAATTTCAGACAATACATGGGATTTCATTAACTGTTTTTGTACCTTACCACAACCCCAAAAATGCTGCAATTTCCATATTCATAGCCGGCCGAAAGCACAAATGCTGCAATTTACTGTAATCATTGGCCTTCAAGGACTCCACTCATGCGGTACCGTGCAACATTCGTAGCATTGCAAGGGGCAAACGCGCTAGCTTTTAGAATGTTGGTACTTCTTCAAGATCCGCAAAGAATGCTGTAATTTGTTCTCTTCGTATGTTTCGAAAGCTGCTGAGGCTGCAATTCTTCGTGCCCTCAACCTTTCAAAAACTCCAAATGCTGTACCAAGGGCCCAGGAAGCAGAAGGACCAGCAGACTAGAGGATCAGAGGACCACAGAAGAAAAAACAATAATAAAGCTTGGCGAGGCTTTGGAAGACCCAGTATATTTCTGATGTAAAAAGTAACAAAAAGCTTGCCTGAACATCCACTGCCATTTCTGTGCCCCATTGACGGCTGTCCCAATCCTTCCGAAAACTCACGTTGTCACCTGAGCAGGGTCAAGATCATGCATGCAAAATTGTATTATTGACGGGCTTCAGCTCCGGCCACTGCTTTTGAAACACAATTCGCTCATCTTCAAAAATCGACCTTCATCGTGTCAGATGATTGCAACACCTTCGTTGCTTATAGCGAATGATAAGGCAGGCTTCATATGATGTCACGTGAGCTGATGGTTATCATGTACGTCTTAGCATCGTTGTCCACCTAATTTGGCATACACATCACGAAGCTGCAGATCTCACAACAAAACAGCAATTACAATGCACCGCGCGGCCAAGATAGGCAGCCACTCAATTGGGGCAAATGTTCCTTCACCCTCGCTTAAACAAGTCCCCTTAATCACGTAATCTCAAATTTCAAAGCAACATATGTCATCCTGCAAGGCATATGTCATGCTGAAAATCACACGAGTCATGTACGTGCTACTTTTCTTCAACTACGACCCTTGTTCCTCCTAAAAACCACCTCAGACCTCGGACATGGTTCACATGACAAATTCCCTTGGCGCTATGGAAGAGGCCTTGGCAAAGGTCATTCGCAGAACGGAGGTGTGTCCGGTAGACTGAAATCATCTGGCCAGGCACACCTGCTCTGGCATGTGGACGGCGAAGCCACGAACACATAACAAACATCACATGACAATTGCTGAACTAGAAGGTATGCACAGTGCCTCCTTCAGGGATGATGTGTCCACATCCCTTGTCCTTACCTTGGCAAGTTTCAGCACAAGGGGTTTTATCCAATGACCTCCATCATTTGGGAAAGGGAGCTTGTCCTACCTATTGTGGAGGTGAAGTTCTGGCTTGTCAATCAGGGCGACGAGTTTTCGTTGTTGGTGTTGTGATGTGTTGTGCTGGAGCGAAAATCTCCAGCGAGTGCCCAGCTGGCTGCGGTCCATCTGCAGGAAGGCTAGTGCGCTCGCTGGCTTGGAGACGAACACTGCCCACTTCAATCGCTCTGAGTTGGACGGCTTGGTCGCCAAGGCTCTGCTGCCAAAAAGGTTGCAGTGTGCGGGCTGGAGCGCAGGGACGGGTGCAGCGCGTCGTCCGCGAATAACTTGGTACGCCTCCGTGTTCTCCGCGCGCCCCTTGCCGCGCGAGCCGCCGCGTCCGCCGGTTGGTCGCGGCACTGTTGGGGAACACTATCCGCGGTGGTCCAGATCACAAGGACAAGTACAGCACTTGGACGTCCGAGTGGCATGGCTGGCCTGAGGGAAGCAGTACAAGCAGCCCGGCGCAGTGCAAATCCCGGTAACTTGGGCAATTGGTCCGTACGCAGCCATTCATCGGCCCATGCCTGCGCAAACGCCGGGTGTCCCATGGGCTTGCCAAAGACAGCGATTCCTTCCTGAACTGCGGGCTTGTTGCCTCGCCACACCTCGTGCAATCCCGCGGAGAGACCAGCCTCGGCCCCGATGACCCGAGTTTTGCCCGAATTGGAACCTGTGTTCAACCGTGCACCGTTTCATCCGAATTTTAAAGCTCTCAATTTCGAATGTCTACCACCAGGACTTACCAAAGCTCGCCACCAACGGCGAGCCCCATCCACGGAGAGTTTACGCGGCGCCCCGGACTCAGCCTTTGCACACAGCGAGCTGCTTCGGGGCTGGTCGCGGCAGGGGTGTCCACTGGCCATGAGAATTACACGCATCCCGAATGTAAATGCACACGCGGGAGACAACGCATTGGAACTTTGGAGTAACAACACAACCGCTCGTCCAACAGCCATGGAAGCCGATTTAACAAGGCCGATTCAGACCCGGCGCTGTCACATTGGCCTCCACCAATGGAGCCAACTGTTTTTGATGCAGCCATGTGGCAACGCAGAATTGCACGCAACAACTTTTTCCCATTTGTAATGCGGCAATCTGCGGCGCACGTCCTCCCTGCAAAAATTCCAGCAGACGGAGTTGTTGCACCCCGGTGACAGCGGAATGTTCTGGGACGCCGATCAGTCAGTGAGTGAGTGAATGAATGAGTGGGTGAGTGGGTGGGCGAGTGAGCGAACGAGTGAGCGAGCGAGTGAGCGAGCGAGTGGGCGAGTGAGTGAGCGAGTGTGTGAAGAACGACCTGGGGCGCACTCCGGCCTGCGGAAACGTTCCCCCCCAGATGGCGAAGTTTTTGCACAGCACCGGGAGGCAGGGGGCCCTGGTGGCAGCCGACACGTTTTTTTGGCAACCCTGTTTCGCAGCACGGCTTTGCGCGCTCGGGCTGATCGTGTCCCGGCACTGCCGCAATAAACGCCAATCCTAGGCTGGAGTGGCCGGCTTGGTGCCGGCACTGCCTGGCGGCTTAGAAGGCGTGCGCGGCACCGGTTTGATTCGGGCAGCGGCACAGCAAAGCTTCCAGCCTCCATTGGACATGGATGTTTGCGGTGGTTGCATCACGACCCTTGGCTTGGTCATTGTTGGATCTGCGTCTTGGCAAGGGTTGGCCAGTGCGCGCCGCACCTTCCATGTGTCAGCCCGCCGTCCGCGCGCTTGCTGGAAGCACGGCTTGCAGGGCGGCCCTGTGCACAGGAATAGCCGATTGGACGCATCAGCGCAGCCGAAAAGATCCGGGGAAAACCTCGACGTGTGAACAATTCCCCCATCACAGCTCCTCCGCCAACTCTTGCCGTTCTTCCCGTGATGACTGTGCGCTCTGCCAGCAGCGTTTGGTTGAAGGTTCCGGGCGCAATTCCAACCGCCCGCTGTGGCGCTGGCCATGTCGATGTGGTATGCAAATACACTTGTCGTGCATGATGCACATGCGCATTCGGTTGCAGGGATCCATGGCCAGGGGGTTCTGCAGACGAATTGTTGCAGTCAGAGTGTCACCGCGCTGGCCTCTCCATTGAGAACACATGGGAGGACCTCCCGGAACAGCAAGAGCCCAACATGCTGGAAGGTATGCCGCCGAGGCCAAACAATGTGCTCGTGTTATGTTGTGCACGCACATCGGCTTGGGATGTCACAGTGCATGCACGTGAGATGGAATGGATTTCAAATCGTGTATTCCAAGTGAATGCGCAAGGCATTCGCGAGCAAACTGGCTGGGAAGGGGAATGGGGGTGTAACCTGTGCGAGCGAACCATTCTACACAATGACCCCCTCATAACGGGTGGAGCTGCTGTTCAGCCGATGGCCCCATGGTTCCAGGAATTGGATTTGTCTACCAGGTTGCACACTGCCATTTCGCGCAGATGGCGCCGTTCAGCATGTGGAGGACCAGGCAGAGCCACTGTGTAATGGTCGCAACTACTTTGCGGCAGCCCCCCCCCACTTCCAACAACGACAGCACGAATTCGTTCATCTATTGTCCTCTGTTGTTGCATACAGCTGGCATGTTGGAGCCGCATGCAATCCAAAGATGGTGTGATGAAATTTCATGGTTTGAACCGTTTTGTTTAGGTTTATCCCGAATTGTCCACGACATCAACCGTTTCGTGCAAGCTTATGCTGAGCTGCTCCAAATTGCTGCTGATGCGAGCACGGCAGCAGACGTCGCCGCAGTCGATCAGCTTCGCGCAGTTGCTGCACGGTATCCTCCTGGTTCCAGGCTTGGGATGCGGTGCTTGCTGCCCCCGGTGCTTGATAATGATGGACACATCCCCAATCTGCTGCAAGACCTGTTGTTGCAAGTGTATGCAGGCCTTCAAGACGCATCGGAACTAGACCGTGCTGTCACCTTCCTTCGTGAAGCCGGCCACTGGCCCTCGTCTTTGCAACATGTTCCGACGCAAGCATTGCCTGATGCCCCGCCGGACGTAGAGGCAGCAGTAGGTCACGTACCTGGTGTGCCGCATGATCCACCTCATGGTGTGGAGTCGTCGCGTGTACCGCCAGCTGGCAATGCTGACAACAGTGATCCCACAGTTCGACTGTGCCCTACACACCTCCATCAGCACCCTTGTGAGCAACGTAGGGGTGCACAATGCGGCACGCAACGCCGTTGTTGCATCTGCAATCAACCCATACCGCATGCATCAGTGTTTTACCACTGCTCACAAGGTTGTCGGTTTTCGGTGTGCACAAGTTGCTTTTCTCCATCCACACATGTTCCCGTTAACACCGGCGCCGCGCAACGATGTGCAAGTGAACCACCCCGCTGCACACACAGTCATGTGGCACAGTCCGCCCCGTCAGCCGGCTACGGCCGTACACAACTGACCAGGTATGTCGACATGTCTTTGGATGCGTTCGTCGAGAAAATAAATGATCTCATCGCCAGTGGCAGTTTTGCAGATTTGGGAATCCCACAACTTAAGATCGAAGGCACCACTGCATGGGGTGCTTGGCTCAGGATAAATCGCAGGAACGGCGCGTTGGGTCGGCGACCCCCACTCCTGTGCGGAGTTTTGTTCCACGCGGCCAACAAAACGGTCACTTTCCATGGTGATGCGTTTTCTGCTATTAGATCCCTGTTGCCTGTGTTTCGCACTTGGACATCATCATGCCTTGCTGACTTGTCCCTGCCAGCCCTTCGCGCGCCCCCTTTGGATTCTGCTTCACGCCCCGACCCTGATAGCATGAGCTCTCCAGGTGGTAACAACGTCGTGGAGGTCGATGAGCATGGCTCCGTTGCTCCCAATCCTGTTGTGCCAAATGCCGCTGTCATAGAGCGGGCCGTTGGCCCAAGCCCGCTGACACGCATGTCGCAAGACATTCTCGACCTGCAGTCGTCTGTGCTTTTCTTGTCCAACATGGTAAATGACATTTTGCAAGCGCTCAATACCCGGCTGCCGGGAATTTGCAATCAAACCGTGCGTCACGACCCGCATGCAGCAACTGCATGTGACATCGCGCTGTTGATTCCCGACATCCTTTTCTTCCGCCTCCCCCTGCACCCCCTGGTTTGGTCCCGCGCGTGGTGCCACCACCACCACCACCCCCTCCCCCCCCCCGTTTGCACAACTTTCCGCCACCGCCCCTCCCACCTGACCGTGGGCAGCATGGTGGTTGGGAGCGTCTGCCATCAGGTTGTGAGAGGTTAGGTGTTACAAGGCGACCCGTGCTTCGAGTGCCCCCACCACCGCCTGCCCCCCCAAAGTCGTGCAGCGTATGCAAGGTCTTCGTGTTCTGCACGCAGCACAGTTAATCATGTGTCACTCAGGCGTCCGCATCATGCCCACATTGTCGATGGAAATGCAACTTCGTATCAGTCCAGTGAGCACCATGAGCAGTCCAGACCACCTATCCGCAGACGACGCAATCAGGGAAACGGTTGGGGCGCTCGGCCATGGGCGGGGCCGTGGCGCCCGACAATTCTGACCGTCTTAAATTGCAATAGGCTGTGGTCGTACTCAGGTCGTTTGCATGATGGCTTTCATGGATTCACCCATTTCCTCGAGTCGCAGTCTTGTCACGTTGTTTTGCTCCAGGAGCCGTTCTGCCCAGCTGATATTAATTTACCGGATGATCAACCTTTTTTTTGGATGGCCCCTGCAACACTCGTGGTCGCGATGTCGGGCTTCTCTGCCATGAGGAATCCGCACACTCCATTTCGCCCATCCCTGCAATTCATGACCAAACAGAGATACAGTGGCGTTTGTTGAGCTTGAAGGATGAATCTTCCAGTATAGCGCTCGCCAC